AAATAAGCTTACTGAAGACAAGTAAACAGTCACAAATTAGGCTACAACAGAACATAAAGTACTGAAATCTGTTCTGTACCTTTGTAATACACTGATAACCACCAAATGCAGGTGGTGATGAGACAGTCACATGATGAACCAAAAACGGTATACTACCGTAAAATTACATGTAATGTCCAATACAGTTTTTCACTGTATATAGTAGGGGAATTTACCGTTAACCATTTAACAGGTTTTTACTGTAGCATTTTTACAGTCTTTTCCCGTTAAGTTCACAGAAATCTCATTCATTACTGTATTTAAGAAGGGCACTGTCTTCCTTGTCTGTTTTACTCCAGTTTTGATCTACCGCAGTCCTAAATCACATCTAAAAGGCCTGTAATCTCATATTGCATCAGGGCAGTGTATCAGCGAGTAGATTTGACCGCTCTGGGCTAGGCTTTGCTTCACAGAGCTTTTAGGCCCTGTTCTTTAGCGCTGACATGTGTTCCTGTACCAGTCTAATTGAGGCTGTTGTTCCCAGCAGAGCCATCTCACACACACCGCTGCTCCTGCACACCACTATTGCTGTCCCGTCTGCAGACCTCAACAGAGATGAGACGTATTTGGGAACTGTGAGGGAGACGGTTACCATGACACGATAATGCAACACAGCCGGTGTGCTCTGCCTGCGCAGGACTAGTTACACGGCTTATTTGCATGTTTAATGGGTTGACATTGAATGTCATTGAGAGCTCTTAAAGGGATAGTTCAAGCATAAATGAACAATTCTGTCATCATTTACTCACCTGAATATATTGAAGGATGGATTTGTGTGAGGATCAGACTGAAATTTGAAGTCTTGTCTCCCATTTATAGGTCTCAAATCTCTTTGATGGTGTTATGGCGCAGAGGAGGAGCATATAACAACCAAAATTGCAGTCTGTCTGTCACTTAAAGCTATCTTATGGTTTCAGAAGACATGAAATAGCTGTTGTGTTGAAACTGAAATAAGTTGTGTTGACTGATTTAGTGGTACTTTTTAGAGCTTGGCAACCACATTTACAAAGTACTTTCATTGTATGAAAGTTTCATTGGTTTTTTTTGTTTTTGTTTTTTTTTGTTCCACTTAATGATATGAAATTGAGTAAATGACAGTGTTATCTTAGGATTATTTATATACTATTATAGTTTTTGTTAGTATTAGCTTTTATTTTATTTTTTAATTTTCAATTATTTTTATTTTATATTTTCTATTATTTTATTTTTTATTTTATTTTTCTATTTAATTTGACATCAAGTTTCAGGTTTTTTTTTGTTATGTGCTTTTGTCATTTTTATTCGTTTTTTATTATTACTACTATTAGGTTTTAGCTTTAGTTTTATTTAATTATATTTAATAAATTTAGTGCTTCAACTTAAACGTATTTCAGTTAGTTACCAAAGCAACATTTATTTTATTTTATTTTGAAAAAAATGTTTTAGCAGTTTAAGTTAATGATTATAACACTGGTAAATAATCTCAAAATTTTAATTTTGAGTGAACTGTACCATTTAATGCAGTAACCAAAAGATTGCCCAAACTCAGAGTGTTTTAAAGTGATAGTTGAAGAAGAAGAAAACATATTTTGAATGGGTCCAATGTTGTGTGGACCCCACCCATTTTCATAAATAAAATATATAAATAAATAATGAATAAAATAATATAAATAATGAATAATACAATAAAATAAAATAAAAATCTCTAAAACACAATACTTTAAAAAAAATATGCTCTGTGTACCACAGAAGAAAGGTTTGGAATGACATGAGGGTGAGTAAATGATAAGTGAAAGCATCGTTCTTTTTTATGTATTTTTAAAGAAAAAATAGTTCCCTGAGCGTGGCCGCAGTGCTGATGATGTATTTTCATCGTGTGTCAGTGCTGTATCGATTAAAAACTCATCAGAACCCACTTGCATGGATTTTTCTATAACAAACACTGTCTAATCAGCCCTGAAATCAATTAAAGGGGTCATATGATGCGATTTCAAGTTTTCCTTTCTCTTTGGAGTGTTACAAGCTGATTGTGAATAGATAAGATCCCTAAAGTTGCAAAGACTAAAGTCTCAAAACCAAAGCCAATCACAATGCACTGGGTCAGCTGGCCAATCAGAGCAGACTGCGCTTGTCAAAGGAGGGGGCTTTGTAGAAAACGTAGCGTTTGAGAGAGGCGGGGCATACAGGACCTACAATAATGTACAGTATTTGAAAAATAATGTGTTTTTTGAACATTAAAGCATGTCAACATATTCTGTTACACCAAATACACAAAATAATGATCTTTAAAAAAGCATCATATGACCCCTTTAATATTAAAATGATTTTCACAATGGCAGCGCAGGCCTCTATTGGCTGATGCGTGCACATGCGGAGAGAGCATGCAGGGATTGTACGAGTGAGAATGAAACGACCACGGAGGACAGCATAAGGCAGATCCCTGCCTGCTGCCGCCAACTGGGCCATTTCTCCCTTGGACCAATCGCATCCACTGATGAGCTCATAGCGCCCCAGATTCCCCTTTACAGACATTTATAGCTTTACAACCATCGCAGTGTTTACTTGGAGTAACGCGAGAAGCACGTCAATTTGTGTTATTGACTCTACAGTCCACATGACTGGTCTGTTTCCATGTATTCACTTATCAGTGCCGTGATAATGTAATAGGACTTGGGCCGAGCTGTTGAGAAGATCAGAGCTGACAGATATCCCAGATTCACTGAGAAGGCCGAATGTCTGGCCGGCTCATTATCTTCATAGACACGGGGTGATGTGGAGCTGAGCGGTGGCCACCCGGCTGATGAGCTCTGTTCAGAGAGGAATACACAATAAGAGAGAGAGAGAAAAGAACAGAGGAATTAGACGAGAATGTGAAAAAGATTGTGACTTGTTTACATTGTAGTCTTTAGGAATGGGAATCATTATTTAACTTTGTATACATATATGTAGATCTGTGTATATATCCAAAATATGTGTGTGTTTATTCATGTATTTTTTATGTTGTATTTTATTTATATTATTAATTTATTTTATATATAATTTATTAAGTTATATTATATTATTAAATTTAAATGTTCCAAATTTCCACCAAAACATTTGATATCTAGATAGATAGATAGATATATACAGTGTAATGGGAAAGTTTGGGAGATTCTTCAGTTTTCCAACATCTTTGCATATTTGAACCCTTTCCAGCAGTGACTGTATGATTATGAGATCCATCTTTTCACACTGAGGACAATTGAGGGACTCAAACAGAACTATTAAAAAAGGTTCAAACATTCACTGATGCTCCAGAAGGAAACACGATGCATTAAGAGCCAGGGGGTGAAAACTTTTGAACAGGATGAAGATGTCCAAATTTTTCTTATTTTGTTGAAATATCTTTTTTTTTTTTCATTTAGTACTGCCTTTCGGAAGCAACAGAAGATACTTGCTTGTTTCCCGGAAGACAAATTAAGTACAATTTACCTTGATCTTCAAATTCGAAAAGTTTTCACCCCTTAATGAGTTATTCAGCTCTTAATGCATCGTGTTGCAAAAGATGCTGGAAAACTGAAGGATCTGAGGGACCTGGAGGATTCTAAAGAACAGTGCTCAGTTTAACTGTTCAGAACAAACAAGGGACTCATGAACAACCATCACAAAACAAAAAAGCAGTCGTAGATCATCCAGGTAACCACACACAGTATTAAGAAATTATGTTACAATGGTTGCTTTGTAGTGAGGACAACTCAACAGAAAGCAACCAATACGTGTTGTCATCACCATCTCTGGTTTTCGTTTAATAACCCTAAATCTCATCCCTTTCAGGTTTGTTCAGTGAAGGATTTCTGCACAGATCTTTTATCTGTGCTGTAGAGCTCCTAAGTACCCCTGAGATATTATTAATGTGGCTCAATTATGTATATTAGATTATTAATGCAATAACTGGATCCAGACCAATTTCAACAGATTGTACGAGGCAACACAGACTGATGGTTTTATGAATTTCCCTTGGGAACAATTTAATCGCCCTTTTTCAGGGAGGCTCAATTGGTTCCTTAAAGTGTTTTCCTCCAGAATGTAAACTGGACGAAACAAGGTCACTGTGAGCTGCTGCACCTATTTACATGCTGTCAGCGTTATCCATGTAGTCATTTGTAATTGTGCTCTTAGCTTACAAGAATTTTAATTATGTATTACTTTCTTGCTGTTATCACAAAGCTGATTAAACATAATCAAGTTTATTCAGGTAATATCACTGCTTGAAAATCCTGCTGAAGCCAAGCTCAGTGTAATAGCTGGTTTTGCATGATTTCTATATGGTCTAAGCATGTCATTTAGCAGAACTAAGCTGGTATAGATGGTTGGTATTAGCTAGAATAGCAGAAGATGCCTGGTTTTTGACCTGGTAGACTATCTTTCTAGCTGATATAGCATATATTTAATATTGTGGGGAAAATGCATTGATGTGAACAGGTGCACAAAACAAAAAGCCATAGCTTAAGAATTCAAATCATGTGTTTTGCAAGTCCAAATGAAAAATGATGGTTGATTAGCTATAATAGCAGCTGATGGACCTGTTTTTGAGAATATACAGACTACCTGTATGATTCAGTAAACAGTAAGATCTAAAAGAGACAATCTTACAAAAAACTTTTTTTCTTTTTTTGCAGAAATTGGATTTTACATTAAGACAATTAAGCATTTTTTTTTTTACTTTTTTCATAAAGTCCAAATGTGTGACGTATGATTTAATTGTAAATTGATGTGTTAATGTTGTAAAGTATTTGCTTTAATGCCTCAGTCTTTCATCTTGAATAACAGCATGTGTTCTTGTATATTTTCAGACTGCCGTGTAGAGCTCTGTGCTCTTGAAGCTGCTGTCCAGGGTCCTGAACTTCTTCAGCCCAGCTTCACTCTACTACATGCTAACAGGCAGCTCCTGACATCTAGTTCCAGCACTCTTTACATCAGCGCACAACTTTGAACCATGGAGGAGGGTTACAGAGACCGTACGGCCTTCATTAAAGGTGCTAAGGACATTGCCAAAGAGGTCAAAAAGCAAGCAGGTAAAAAGGTGGGCCGCCACATGGACAGGGTGAGCGACGAATACAGCAAACGCTCTTATACCCGCTTCGAAGAGGAAGACGATGATGACGATTACCCCGTGCAGGCCCAGGACGGCAGCTACTACCGCAGCAACAGCAGGGCCAACGACGACGAAGGGGCTCACAGCGACTCCACAGAGGGCCACGATGAGGATGATGAGATCTACGAGGGCGAGTACCAGGGCATCCCCAGAAACGACTCCGTTGAGAAGGTCGACAGACAGGTGGGTGGAGTAGGACAGTCTCAGTTGCTGAAGCCAAGCTCAGTGTAATAGCTGGTTTTGCATGATTTCTATATGGTCTAAGCATGTCATTTAGCAGAACTAAGCTGGTATAGATGGTTGGTATTAGCTAGAATAGCAGAAGATGCCTGGTTTTTGACCTGGTAGACTATCTTTCTAGCTGATATAGCATATATTTAATATTGTGGGGAAAATGCATTGATGTGAACAGGTGCACAAAACAAAAAGCCATAGCTTAAGAATTCAAATCATGTGTTTTGCAAGTCCAAATGAAAAATGATGGTTGATTAGCTATAATAGCAGCTGATGGACCTGTTTTTGAGAATATACAGACTACCTGTATGATTCAGTAAACAGTAAGATCTAAAAGAGACAATCTTACAAAAAACTTTTTTTCTTTTTTTGCAGAAATTGGATTTTACATTAAGACAATTAAGCATTTTTTTTTTTACTTTTTTCATAAAGTCCAAATGTGTGACGTATGATTTAATTGTAAATTGATGTGTTAATGTTGTAAAGTATTTGCTTTAATGCCTCAGTCTTTCATCTTGAATAACAGCATGTGTTCTTGTATATTTTCAGACTGCCGTGTAGAGCTCTGTGCTCTTGAAGCTGCTGTCCAGGGTCCTGAACTTCTTCAGCCCAGCTTCACTCTACTACATGCTAACAGGCAGCTCCTGACATCTAGTTCCAGCACTCTTTACATCAGCGCACAACTTTGAACCATGGAGGAGGGTTACAGAGACCGTACGGCCTTCATTAAAGGTGCTAAGGACATTGCCAAAGAGGTCAAAAAGCAAGCAGGTAAAAAGGTGGGCCGCCACATGGACAGGGTGAGCGACGAATACAGCAAACGCTCTTATACCCGCTTCGAAGAGGAAGACGATGATGACGATTACCCCGTGCAGGCCCAGGACGGCAGCTACTACCGCAGCAACAGCAGGGCCAACGACGACGAAGGGGCTCACAGCGACTCCACAGAGGGCCACGATGAGGATGATGAGATCTACGAGGGCGAGTACCAGGGCATCCCCAGAAACGACTCCGTTGAGAAGGTCGACAGACAGGTGGGTGGAGTAGGACAGTCTCAGTTCCGGGACATGACGCAGTATGAGGGGGAGAGGAGGAAGGACCAGGAGGAGCTGGCCCAGCAGTATGAGACCATCCTGCAGGAGTGTGGCCACGGCCGCTTCCAGTGGACCCTGTACTTTGTGCTGGGTCTGGCCCTCATGGCTGATGGCGTGGAGATCTTCGTGGTGGGCTTCGTACTGCCCAGTGCTGAGAAAGACATGTGTTTGTCTGAGCCCAACAAAGGGATGCTGGGTAAGTGGAGAACAGCTTATTAGCTTTTATCTGTGGTTTCTGTTATAAAGTGCTTTAATGCACAATCTGCCCATGCACTTTTCACCGCTATTGTATCCGGAAGTGCTTTTCTCATTCATCTTTTCCCCTTAAGGTGTTTTAAAAAATCTTTGTTAAAGAGTTACAAGTCATGAACCAAACCAACCAGTTACAAGGTGATAAAAGTGAAACGTTCATATATTCTATATTCATTACATGTAAAGTAAAACATTATAAAAGTTTTTTTGTTTTAATTTTAATGATTAGAGCTTACAGCTCATGAAAGTCAAAAATCCAGTATCTCAAAATATTAGAATATTTCCTAAGATCAATCAAAAAAAAGGATTTGCACAACAGAAAAGCTCAAGTTCTTTAAAGTATGTTAATTTATGCACTCAATACTCGGATGGGGCTCCTTTGGCACAAACTCCAGCATCAGTGAGGTGTGGCATGGAAGCGATCAGCCTGTGGACTGCTGAGGCACTATTGAGCCTTCAGCTCGTCTGTATTGTTGGATCCACTCTTTCTCATCTTTCTCTTGAAAATATCCCATAGATTCCATATGGGGTTCAGGTCAGGCGTATTGGATAGCTAATCAAACACAGTAATATCATGGTCAGCAAACCACTTGGAAGTAGTTTTGGCACTGTGGGCAGGTGACAAGTCCTGCTGGAAAAGGAAATCAGCATCTCCATAAACCTTGTTAGCAGATGAAAGCATAAAGTGCTCCAAAATCTCCTGGTACTTGTGAAGCTCTGCCAAGTGTTTGAATCGGCTTTGCTTGACAGTATTCTCAAGCTTGCGGTCATCCCTGTTTCTTGTGCACTTTTCCTACCCATTTTCTTCCTTACAGTCAACTTTGCATTTAATATGCTTTGATACAGCACTCTGTGAACAGCCACCTCTTTCAGTAATGACCTTCTGTGACTTACCCTCTTTGTGGAGGGTGTCAATGATCGTCCTCTGGACCATTGCCAAGTCAGCAGTCAGCAGGTTTCAAAGAACAAGAGATACCCGGAATTTATACTGTAGGGATGGTCATTTAATGAAACTCAAATGCAAATATTCTAATATTTTGAGATACTGGATTTTTGACTTTCATGAGCTGTAAGCTCTAATCATCAAAATTAAAACCAAAAAACTTCTGAAATGTTTTACTTTACATGTAATGAATCTAGAATATATGAAAGTTTCACTTTTGGAAACAAGTTACAAAAAAAATAAACATTTTCCACGATATTCTAATTTTTTCTAATATATATATATATTGTTGCAACCCCAGGGGTGAAACATAAAATGAAGAGAGATGGTCATGGTACCTTTTCAAGAAACCTCTTGGGGTTCTTTTTTATTGTGAGGTTAAAAGGGAATAACAGTTTGGTTTTGCCAGCTGGTAACACAAAAAGAACGCAAAAAAAACTTAAGGGCTAGGCCAGGCCAAAATAATAAACAAAAAGGAACTACCTTAACCCAAAACTAAATATCCTAACAAAATAAAGCAAAAGAAGATACAGGCACTTCCCTACCTCCTTAACTAATCCCAAAAACAGGAAAAAAACATGTTAAACATAAATGGCACCTAGCCCCTACAGCGTTCACAAGACACAAACTACTTGCTAGACAGATTTATGGTCTCTCACACTCGGAATGAGGAGAGAGAAAAACGTGAGGGAGAGAACAATAAACGTTTCAATCGTTCACTCAAAACTTCAACAAGTTCTTACAATAAATATGATAACACAGTCTCAACAACGTCCAACAAAATGAACAGCGCACATTCCATTCTCTCACGCCTCTCTCTCTGAGGATGTTGCTCTATGCTCGTCTTTTTGAAAGATGCTGGTGCTCCTCACAACCTACCACGGCGCACACTGGTGGCGGGGCGACCTGTAAGAGACAGGACAGGAGAGAAAGGGAGAAAGAAACACCAAAACAGCGGCTAAAATACAGTCTCAGGCGTAACAATATATATATATATAGAGAGAGAGAGAGAGAGATGATTATTTTTGGAAAATGTGTAGGATTGAAAAATTAAATGTATTGCAAATAAATGTAATGAAACTGGATGATAAAGGATTAGTTAACTCAAAAAATGAACAATTTTTCAACCCTGTATGATTATCTTTTTCTATGAAACACAAAATGAAGTGTTAGGCACAATGTCCAAGCTACACTTTCCTTACAATGAAATTTGCTGATGATATTTTACATGTTGATGATATTTCATGGCCCTTTTTTTTTAAAGCTTGGCAGTATTTGCATTTTTGGAAATGCAATATGGAAAACAGAACCTCAGATATTCTGCCTAAGATCTTGTTTTGTGTTGCACAGAAGATTCTGTCAGAATGGAACAAGTACATAATTTTTTGAAAACCAATAAAACCACTGATATCTTAAACCAGACTATGCTGGTTTGCTAGTCTTATCTGGTCTAAAAAAGTGCCTAAAACCCATGTAAAACCAGCCTGACCAAGTGGAAAAACCAACTAAAACCAGCAAGCCAGATTACGCTGATGTAAGTTGTTTATTTTTTCAGCAGAAATGTATCAGATCTCTGTCAGTGGTCACGGAAAAATAGCTTTCTGTAACATAAACAAAATATATCTTAAGGCCAGTTTCCACTGTCATCTTGTGCCCATTTCACCATCTGTTAGTCCATCCAGCAAGGACACACAATTCTCCATCCTGGACGAACCCGACGCAGCATTGATGCAGTTTGAGCTATAATTAACTGGCAATAGACATACTGAACAGCACAGTGTGCTTTCATGGCTTGTTCTGTCTCCTTGTGGTCTGTGATACAATATTCTAGTAGTCCTTTTGCATGGATGGAGTCCTTGAATATCATGTTACATATCCAAAAAACATTATATAATATCCACAGACATTTTGGTAGTTTTAAATACTCTGCTCATGCATGCACGCAGGTGTTGCTGCTCTGAAACCATATTAATTGTTTCTTTATGTTAGCTATTTACTAAATTATCTTTTAAGTGATTACTGGGAAATTTCTGATGTGTTTTCTTGGTCGTAAGGTTCACACCTTGGGTTATAATGTGAGCTTGTGTGCTCATGTCAGTGCTTGTTCATTGATATATTCACTCGGCGTGGGTCTCAGCTGAGCGTGTGTATGTGAGTTCCATTGGGGAGCAGGGCCCTTGGTCTCTCCCCTGTTACAAAACAGCCCTGACTCATGCAGGAGTGCCGTCTGTATCTCTGCTGGGTCCTAGTGCTGAAACGTTTCCATGCACACGCAGCTGCAGCTCTGCAGCAGAAATGCTTCAGCCTCTGTCACATGACACTCTCCAATCAAGTCCTACCGCATGGATGTGTGGGATGAAATGGCCCGCGGAGGGTTTTGTTTCTGCTCACTGCACCCAACAGTCAACCTGTGTGTTTCTCTACTGATGGCTTTAAATGCAACGAATGAACGTTTTTCGTGTGTGTAATATGAAAATAAGATGGATACAACACTATTATTATTTATGAAGGCACTGAAAGTAAATCGCCCCATTAAATGTTGTGACAGATCAGCTGTCGGAGATTTTATGGTTTAATGGATTTGTATTGAACAATGATGTATGGTTGGATGCTACAGTGGCTCACAGATAGATAGATAGATAGATAGATAGATAGATCATGGATGTGTGGGATGAAATGGCCCGCGGAGGGTTTTGTTTCTGCTCACTGCACCCAACAGTCAACCTGTGTGTTTCTCTACTGATGGCTTTAAATGCAACGAATGAACGTTTTTCGTGTGTGTAATATGAAAATAAGATGGATACAACACTATTATTATTTATGAAGGCACTGAAAGTAAATCGCCCCATTAAATGTTGTGACAGATCAGCTGTCGGAGATTTTATGGTTTAATGGATTTGTATTGAACAATGATGTATGGTTGGATGCTACAGTGGCTCACAGATAGATAGATAGATAGATAGATAGATAGATAGATAGATAGATAGAAAGACATATCGATAGACAGATGTGAGATAGAACAATAGAAGATAGATAGAAGATAGAAAGGTAGATAGATAGACAGACAGACAGACAGATAGATAGATAGATAGATAGATAGATAGATAGAAAGACAGATGTGAGATACTTTCTCTCTGTTTTTCCCTCACTTCCTCAGCCCTGGAGCCTGTGTGCTTTCCTGTCACTGTGCTGGAGAATCACAGCCTCCTCTCTCGCCCTTCCCCCTCTGCGCTCTCTCTCTCTCTGAGGAGGAAGAGGAGGCAGAGGTCAACTGTCTCCAGGCTCTTGCCCCGCCCCTCGCCTCTCCTGCATCTCTGAAACCCCTGTGACATCATGCAGGCGGCCCCGCCCACTCAACCATCCCCGAGCCTTAATTGGCTGGGTCGTGTTGCATCAGTGTAGCAGTGGTAGTGTAAAACACAGACCTTCCCTTTAAATTCAAGACACGTGGTTAACCGCGAGCGCAGCCGTGTTTATTAATGCTGTCAGGTGAGTGAGTTGTGTAAAATCACACAGCACATGTGTTCGGTGTTGTCATGTCTATTGTTCAGGTCTGGTTAGCAAATGTGCTCTGCATCATTGCCTTTGAAGGTCATAAGGTCATGAGTACAGAGTTCCACAGAATGCAAACGCTCAACACATTGTTTATGGAATATTATTGAGAATATGATCATGCTTTCACCCAGTCTATAGTATACACTAAACAAAACAATACAATTTTTTTGTATAATGTGAAGTTGTTCTTTAACAATTAAAACAGCATTTAATACAAGAAAAATATGCAAAAAATATAATTTATGTCTTGTTTTCTAGTAAAAATATTGTTTTATTGTTTATTTGAAGATTTATACATATATAGTTTTCATTTATATATATAGATAATTACAGATAGTGTGTGTGTGTGTGTATATATATATGTATATGTGTGTGTGTGTATACTGTATTTATGTATGTATGTGTGTGTATATATACACATAATTACACAATATATAACGATATATAGATAGATTTTAAGTGAATGTTATATGAAATATTTCATACACACACAAAAATATTTAATGTAATATATATTACCTTTTAAAAGATTACTAAAATGATGATTATAAATATTTTTTATTTAGATTTATTTTATGTTTATGATGTTCAGATATTTTACTGGAAAAAACTATTAAAATGTATAATCTATTATAAATGCATTCATAATGTATGTTAAATACATTATATCTTTTCATAAATTATTGTAATTAAAAACTTAAAAACGCAGGTGTTGTGCAATTCAGGGTAATGCATAATATTTCTTAAAGGTGTAACAGTAAATAGATTAATATTATAATGTATTATAAATGTGGTTACAATTCTTCATAAGATCATACAATACATTATTAGGTGCATTACAGTGCATATTTAATGCTTTAAAAACACTTCATAATGCATTATATATACAGGTTTCAAGTAAAGTGTTGTTGTTGTTGTTTTTTTTTAGTGTGAATATATATTTTTACTTTTACACTGTTTTTGGCAGTAAATGCTTTGACAGATTCGCAATTACCTTAGTGTTGTTTTGCATTACCCAATCTTTTATCCCATCAAATTCAACCCAGACTGCAAACACAACTTTCTACTGCTAATAGGAGAGCAGTCTTGACGTATTTAAATCCCACCGTCCCGTTTTAGTGCTGCTCCCCTCTGCTAATGCACCTCAGGAGGTGCTGAGAGCCGCGGGCATGTCCTGTGCAGGGTTTGTGCAGTGTAAGCCGATGGGCCCTGGAGAGGAGGGGTTGAGATAACAGACCCCTGTGCTGCATTGCAGTGATGCCTATCAAGGCTCATCATCACGGCTGTCTGCCATAGCGGCCCATTATGAGGCCAAGGTGAGAGAAAAGTAGTGCTGACAGCTGCCTCACAAAGTCAACTTTAATGCTACTTCAACATTTGCAGCACCATCTCAAACACCTGCAGATCCTGCAGAAACACCAGACACCAGCACAGATGCTCATCAGAGTATAGCTGTTGGTTCTGATGGTGAAACGAAGAGAAATGTTTATAAATGCAATTCATTCAATACCGAAATGTATTACTAAATGTAGTCCAATATAGTTAAAAATCTGTCTTATCCACTGATCTATATTTAATGATAATGAAATATTCTCTATTATAGATCAGTGGTCTTACCCAATATGTGTGTGCAGTTTATATATTTAATAATCATAACATTTTAAGAGGTGATTTATTTTAATGCCATAGGTCTTGCTGAAACATAATATGATGAATATGTAGAATATGAATGCAAGAAAATATTTTGTTTTTCACATTTAAAATATATAATTCATCTGTTCCTTCTAATGCCAAAATATATTAGAAAATATGCTTTAAGGTATA